TCTTCTTCTTCTTCTCCTTCGATCCTCTTCTTCCTCTTCTTCTTCCTCTTCTGCTTCCTCTTCATCTTCCTCTTCATCTTCCTCTTCTTCTTCATCTTCCTCTCCTTCTTATCCTTCTTCTCCTTCTTCCTCTTCTTCTTCCTCTTCTGCTTCCTCTTCATATTCCTCTATATCTTCCTTTTATTCTTCACATCTTCCTCTCCTTCTCCTTCTTCTTCCTCCTATTCTTCCTCTTCTTCTTCCTCTTCCTCTTCTTCTTCTTCTTCCTCTTCTTTATATATAGAGTTCAATGAAGACCAAATGCTTGTGATAGTTTAAAAAATAACATATTTAAATTGTGCATCTGAACGCAGAAAAAATACGTTGATCAGTACCGCCTTTCAGCCAAAACGCGCTACTGCTACACAGAAGTACATATAAATAATACATTGATCATCAACGATCTTTTTGTATAGAATCTAAATCGTCAATAGGAATCTACCACCGATTTAAGAACCGGCGAAACTCCTATTGCAGCCACAGATCCTACACATAGAGTTCAATGAAGACCAAATGTTTGGGATAGTTTGAGAAGTAACATACTTAAGGTGGTCAAATTCTTGTTAGGGGAGCGAGGTGAGACTAAAAATAGCGCCAGCCACAACCTCTTTTGTACCGGTTCGTGCCACGAACCGGTAGTAAAGATGCTGGTGCTCGGCCAGCACCTTTAGTACCGGTTCGTGGCACGAACCGGTACTAAAGATTCACAATGAACCGGTACTAAAGGTCACCTCCCGCCAAGTCATTTGAATCGGCACTAATGGGCGCATTAGTGCCGGCTCATATGCGAACCGGTACTAATGTTTCTCATATTAGGTCCTTTTTCTACTAGTGCCGGTATACCGAAACGAACCTCGTTCCACTAGGGGTACGTGATCGCATGCATGCAATCGCACCAATGTGGGCAGACATGTGGGCACGGCTGACATAGGGACCCACGCAAGTTTGGAACAAAAACGGACACAAAACAGACGTTGTGTCACGTCCGGCCAGTGTTTTAGGGCATTTTCACCAGGAAAATTCTAGGAAATGCATCGAGCACCGGAAAAATATGCAAACTGGCATGGTGCTGTCGACGGTGATGCCAACGTGTGGAAAAAGTTTTGCGC